TAATTTTAAATGCACAAATTTTCGAAATAACAAAATAAAAGCCTACAAAATATATAAAAATTTGAACTGGTAATAACCGTACAAAAAAAAGCAAGCCGATTACAAGAGTTAAAGTGATTATGCCGAGAGTTACTATACCAGAACAACAACTAGTAATTTCTCGATTTCCAAACCAGCCAATTTTTAAAATAACAAAATCAGAAATATTACTATGAAACATGAACAAGTAACGGTAAAGAATTTGTTGATTTAGGGAGAAGGAATGTGTAACCTACATTTATGATCTTGAGAAGGCACAATCACTAATATATTAGTAATACAACGTTAATTCGATTGCATAAAATTCAGTCACCGATACTTTGAGTCAAACATTCTCACTATGATTGGTGTAATTAGTGAAAGATGCTTATATAATATTTTTCATTTTCTAATCAGCTTACTCAAATAAACTCGCATGAACTCTCAGTTATGACAGAGTTTAAATCTATGAATTTGCGGAGATCTTTGTTGCTTTGAAGATTTAGATTCAAATTCAATCATCGAAATAAGAATATTTACCACTCTAAAAAAATCATAATTAAAAATTATACACAAAGTAAATTATTCTTATTTTATTGTAAGCCCATAAACTAAATTAAAATTGAATTTAAGCGCTAGGATCTTTTTGAATTAGCATTGTTGGAGTTGCTTTTGTAACATCCAAGAATTCACGGCAAATATCATCAGAATATCGTTGTGAGAGTTGAATTATTGCTTCCTTATTATCGTCGTGTCCTTACAATCATTACAAATTTAGTTAGGTAATAATAATTGTAGATATAAAAAAAAATTAATATATTTACCGAATTCAACAGTCAGAATCGGTTTAACACCATACTCTTTAGATATTGAAACTTCAATATTAAGATCAGGATTATTAAAAGCTATTCTTGGTAAGTTTTCTCTCAAAAAATATCTAAAAATTTAAATAGATTACATTAATAATAAATAAATAAATATATATAATAGAATCGTTTATATAGAATTTACCTTGCACCAGCATTATCTTGTTTCCTAGAAAAAGCTAAAGAGACTTTTTTAACATCAGGATCCACTTTAGCTGCACCTAAACCTGTACGAAGGTCAATGATAAGTTTAGCGGTTTTAGATAGAGTTGCTAATTTTTTTGCCGTTGATGCCATTTAAACTTCTGATGATTTAACGTTTAAACGTTAATAAATTTTTTTTTGAATTATCACGTGAATGATCTGTATGGGTAAACAAACGCCGAATGATCTACGGACGGCAGCTTTTTATAAAAATTTTCAACACGTTAGTGTTAGTATTTAGGGCTAGGGTTTGGGACGGGTTTTTAGGAGCGTAGAGCATTTTTACTTAGGACATCTTGCACTGCCAGCTTTTGAGATAATACAGTATATACATAGGGTAAAACACCATAGGTGCGTTTTAGTAAAAGTCAAAAAGTTTTACTTGCTATTAATTTCTAAAATTTCCGTGTCCCTAGCGGGCGATATGAGCATCACGTGGATCAGCCCCTTACTGTCCTTAAGAACAATCTATAGAGTTGCTTTTGCTGATTTTTAAGGGGATCTGGCCAGTAAAAATAGATCAATATCTGTAGTATAATATAAATATGGGTGGGAAACCTGTCATCGGGGTTTCAAGTTTATTGTTTATCCGAACTCAGTCAATCTGATTTTTTTAGAGTTTTAGGAATTGTGGTAAATTATAAATTTTAAACTCCGATGACAGGTTTTTTTCTTGGCTGCACCTATAAATGAATATTGCCAAGTGAAACCAGAAATTCTAAATGGAATGCGGGCTTTAATCTATTCAATCAAAACTACTGGGATAATTGTTCTTTTAGCGTTTATCATGTGTCATTATCATTTAACGCCCGTGTAAAGAATTCCATATTTAGAATTCCAGGTTTCGATATAAATTCATCTGGTTTATTTTTTTTTTGAATGCGCCCTGAACATGTACGAACTAAAAAAAAGAGCCCACTAAAAAAACGCACAGAAACTTTAAATCATTTGCCTATACTGAAATAAAGATCTGTGATTGACATCCGTGTCCTTGATGAATAATAGTTCTCGAACATTCTCTTCGTTGATTAAACAACTAAACTTTAAGGGCATAATGAATTTTCGTAATATTTAAATATTCCAGAACAATTATACGTAAAAACTTTCTATACGGTTGACTTTTTTTTTTAAATGTCATTATTGCGTTAACAAAAAAAAAGTTAAAGTATCACAAATTTGCGTCATCATTAGAAATCACGAAATAAATTTAATTCACCAAAACAATGATTGTCTCAGTTAGTCAATTAATCATAATTTTTTAGTTTAAAAGATGACATAATCGTATTACAGGTAATTTTAGACTAACGTCATTATATTAAATAGTCATTCAACGCTCATCTCCGAACAGAGCCTATATGTGCCATGGTTTTACTATTCGTAATTCATTTATCATTAATTTGATCAGGATTGTTTTTAATACGTCACTTTTAAAAAAAAAAATTCAAATAAATATCATCCACATTAAGGATCGATAAGGATTATTTGGGTTAGAGTAACTCTTTGTTATGGTATTTTATATATTCTTGCTCACCATCGTAACTTAATATCAATTCTTTCGCGTTTATCACCTAATATATGCTTTAGAATAAGTCGTGTTACACTTAAACCCCCAAAAAGTTACATTAATTATTATTTAGCAAAAAATAAATTAAATTTGAAAAAAAAAATAATAACGATGAAAAGTGTGAAAAGTCACTTCAAACCAGTAATCAAAACATCACCTGCCACTTCATCAGTCGCTTCTCCTTCCGATACCACTACTTCAAACAAAATGACTACAAATGCAGAAGTTGAAACTTTGCCGGGTTCAACACCGCAAAATACTAAAGATACACAAACTAAAGTTACAGGCAAACAAAAAACACCAAAGAGTGTAAATAACGCATCAACACAAAAACATAAAAAAACTCAAAAAATATCCGATGCTGGCCAAGTAAAAAAGGCATATTCCCCTCGTAAAAAAAAGACCAATACTGCCGATACAGCCACATCTTCTGATGTATCACCAGAAACATCTAAAACTACTGTTACCCGTAAAAGAAAATCGAAAAAAGATCAACAAGAAACAGTAGCAAAAACAACAGAAACTTCAAATATCAAGGTTGACGTAGGTGAAACAACAACAACGACAGAAGTCGTTGCAAATAATAACGGTATACAACAACAACCATCAACGGTTTTAGAAAGTCCCGTTACGGATAATCAAACTCAAGATGTCGTTCCGGTTAAAGCTCCAAAAAAACGAAAGAGTAAAGTCGTTACTGCAACGGATAATGATACGAAAAAAGAAACGAATAATGATGGCGAATCTTCGGAACAGAGCAAACCTAAGAGAGTAAAGAAGGCTAAAGATCCAAATGCTCCTAAAAAGCCACCAAATGTTTACATGCAATTCTCAAAGGTTAAAAGGTAGATATTAACAAGATAAAAACGCGTTAATTCTTCTCATTAGCTTTGTGTAATAATAATAATATTTAAAAACATAGGCCAGAAATTAAAAAAGCAAACCCGGATGCGAATCCGAAAGAGATACTTACTTTGATCAGTGAAGCGTGGAGGAAATTGTCCGATGAAGAGAAAAAAGTAATTACTTTACCTATATTATTTATCTATATTATTATTTTATACTTGTTCTAATAAATGAATAACGTTTAAATTTTTAATAGCCATACCAAGATATGGTTAAAGTAGCTATGACCGAATACGAAGAACAAATGAAATCTTATAAAGGTGTATGTATTAAATTTTAGATTTAAATTTTAATGGTTAATTTTGATATCGATGTTTATACATATTAATATTATTAATATTTATTTAAAGTTATGCACAAATTCTCCCATGGATAATGAGCAAATGACCATGTCAACACCAGATGCATATACTCCAAAACAGAACTTGGAAACTCAAGAAATTGAACAAAATACATTAGACGCGTCAGTAGTTCCAAATAACGCGAATCAAAATTTGTCAGGAATAATGATGTGTGATAATTCGCAGCCAGATCTTTCTCAATTAGCTGTGCATCAAGCGTTACCATCTGGTGTACCATTCGAAAATTACGCGTCATACGGTCAACGAGACGATATGGAAGCATTGTTAGATATGCCAGATGTTGGAAATTCTTATGAATTTCAAACAAGTGATCCAAGTTTATTTAATAATTCTGAACAACTATTAACCGATATTCAAAATGGTGGAAGCACATTTGACTTTCAACCAACGAGTTCTAACTCTAATAATGCTCAATTATATGATAATTCGGCTTATCAATTTCCAGCAACAATGCTGCCATTAGCTATGAACATTCAAGAAAATCAGGATACTCATGGTACTTATTTTTACGGTGAACAACAACCACTTCAAGTTGTTAAGCAAGATCTATTACTTTATGAACCTCCTGTTCGAGAGAATCGTGAAGCCTCCGAATCTGGAAGTAGTCAAGAAGTTCATAACTCACCAGTTATAGTTAAAAATAGAGATCATAATTCAGGTAATTTACTCTTATGTCAACCATTCGAACCATCCAATGGAAACAATAATATTGGTAACATCGATATGGAAGGGAATGGTCACTGGTTTCAAGACGAGACTCAATTCCAAGATCCTTCGAATTATGTACAACAATATAACGAATACGATATATCACAACAGAAGATACTTCAAGATAATTTACGACAAATATCTCAACAAGAATATTATCAGAAACAAATGTCACAACATCATCAACAACAAATGGCACAAGAACTTTCGCAACAACGTGCATCACAAGACACTTTATTATCGGAATCCAAACAACACACTCCAATACAGTCGTATCAACCTCCTCCATATAATGATCAAAATGTAAATTGGACTGGTGTTCGATCTGAAGTTGGTGGCGCTGCTGTTTAAAGGTTCTGTTAGCTCATGCATATGTATAATTTAAAATTATATATATTCAATCTATTTGTAATGCCATTATTATTATTATTATTATTATTATTATTATTATTATTATTATTATTATTATTATTGTCGTTATTATTATCATAAAAGATTTGCATGGTTTATTGGAAATTGACATTCTCGGAATTTTAATAATGATATAGCATTGCTATTACTTGTTTCATTGGTTTTTCATTCTAATTCTGCTAATCAAAAATATATGCAAATGATATTTAGTTATTATCTGGATGGAGTGTAGCAACGATAATGTTGTTAGTCGAAATACCTTATTTCGTCAAATATTAGACAATTTTGTGTTGAAATATATTTCGACATGACATTATTTTTTTGTCGAAATGTCAAAATTCTAACTTTGTCGGAATGACTAAATAAATATTATAAGACTAAATGTCTAAAATAGTGGTAAAATAAAATATTTAGATTTATCATCTCTAATATTCCAAAGTTACAACATAAATTAGATAACTATGTAACGTGGAATATATAACTGATAGATATTTTCGAATACAGAACACCTATATATCTAATTCTTATCGTTATATATATTCTATATATAAAGTGAAATCCACAAAATAAACAAGTTCGGATACTTGCTAATAAATAAATTTATATTTTTTAATTTAGACATTTCGACATTATTTAGACATTTCGAGCATAATTTATAATTTCGGTATTAACGTTAATTTAGAATTTCGGCAGACTAAATATCAAATGTTAATTTTTATGCAAGAAAATACAAAAAATACGTTATTGATTCATTTCGACCAAAATGGTTACTTTTTTTGATTCATCTGCATTTTCCTAGTACGTATAGAATTCACGTATTACGTACAGTAATAAAAACAACAAATCTTTCTTTTATTCAACTATTAATTATATTTTTTATTAAATATTTTTCGTCTGTTAAATTTTCGCCGGTCCTTATCTACAACATTGGATTCGAAATAGTACATCATCTTTACTCTTCATATCTATTTTTTTTATATAATAATTGACAAATTGGATCTGTGAAGTTTGGTATACCTGGGATATTTCATCGATTTGATTAAGATCTATTTAAAACAATAATGATTTATGATGATTATAATTGAGTAAATATAATATATAGTAAAAATTTAAATCCCTATTTACAAATGTTAATTGTAATGAAAAAATGAATATAAATTGTAACTTTTAAATGTACCTGGTTTAGTTTATTCATAATTAGAAATTTGTTTTTTAAATTATAAAATTATCGACTAGATTAAGTTGATAAATTTTTATCAAATTGACAAACATAAGTCGATAAGAACTTGATAAAGTAAAATAACTTTATTATCACTATTCAAGTTCGTTTATTAAAAATAAAGTTATGATTGTATTATTGAATTACAAATGATAATATACAAAATTCTAAATTCATTAAAACATAATTCGGTAGACTAGCAAAGCATATAACCTCGAGTCGATAAATTTATTTAGTAATTAATGATTAAAATGTATTGCTTTGCACTTTTTATATGTCTGATAAGATTCAATACTGATTTGTTGAAATTGTGTCGAAAATTATCTAAAGACTTTTTTTTTATTGCTCTGAATAAGGAGTATATCATTTCTTAACAAAATCTCGTAATACTATTTATAACATCAAAGTAAAATCTATGGAATTTATGAGCAACTTGAATACTCCAGAAGATGTCAATGCTGGTACGAGAGAACATTTTTAACATTAAAGAATTATCTAAGATATTAAGAATATTCCACGTTTTCCGAAAAATATTAATTAATTTAAATAAAACTTACAAGAATATAATTTAAATAAGTAAACGTGATCGTTTAAATTCATAATTATCCCATTATCAATTTTAATTCTTTGAATATGACACTAGATGCTATCAACATCGATATAATTTTAAATCATACAAATTTATTTACCAGTTCACATTCTATAATTCTTCTCTGTTAATAGGTTTAAATGAAGCCATTGCAACAACTCTCATTTAGGGTGATTTATTTTAATTGGTTAATTGTTAAAACATAATATATAAGTATTATATATTGCAGAGTGTAATGTCTAATTAAGTTCATATGATTATACTGTATATATTAAACACATATTTGTAAAATATTAAAATTATTTATTTAATATTAATTATTAGAATTAATTTGTTTGTAGCCGTACTATCAATATAGTTTTTTTTATAGAAAAATTTTGTAACCATATTAACACGAGAGGAGCATTTTTACTTAGCTACACAACAGGGGTACCTTAGCAAAATTTTGTGTTATAACAAAATTATAAAATAAGACTACATGTAGACCATAAATTAATTCTATATATATAGTATATAAACAACAATATTTAATTTATATTAAACTATAATATATAGTAAATAAATATTTATACGTAGTAAATACAAATAATATAGATATATAAAATATTAAAATACTTATCTAATAATAATGCTATTAAATTAATATAAGCTAATATTTGTTTTGATTTTCTGATGAATACCTCTATGAGTGCAAGTTCTTGGGACCAAACTTTAATAACGTGTACTGTATTTAGAGAGCAAAAAGAAAAAGCCATTTATGGATGTCATATACATATTTGAGCCAGAAATTTGAGTGTGCATTTAGAGAGGGTGTACATACATAGAGGATGCACGTATGGTGGTTTCACTGTAATTTAAAATATTTTAACTTAATTTAAAAAATTTTAATTATTTGAACAAAAAAATTACCGTAGTTTTTGATAATTTTAATACAGTAATAAGAATTTAAAAAAATTTATTGTATAAATTATATATAATAAATTTTTCAAATTTTAATTAAACTTACTGTATAAATTACTATTGCAGTAATTTAATTAATTCTATACAAATCATTATATAATTAGTAATAATTTTTTAATAAAAACAAATTTTTGAAGCTTTAAAATCTTTAATTATAAAATTTATTAATAATTATACATAATTAATAGTGAGCTATTTATAATATATTAAAATTTATAAAATAAAATTCTTTTTCTATATTAATTAATATAACCCTTTTTTTTTAAGATTATACAAATTTTTGTATGTAAAATTTTTTTTAAAAAGTACAACCAGTAGTAACTTAAGAGTTAGACACTTTCTACACTTAAAAAAGTTCGCATCTTTAGATAGTAAAAAGAAGATTACATCATACTAAAATTTTGTGTACAATGCAGTAATATATAAAATCAAATGAATTACAAGATTAAATTCAATTTAATTCAAATCATACTAGCCAAATTTTTTTTTTAAATCAAACTAAAAGTTTAAGTGATAAAATGATATTAGGCGTCGTACTACAGTATTCTAACGTTAAATAAACGAATATTATTGTTGAAATAAAATCCTAAAAACGTCACAGATCGATTTCACGATGATGCGTATATACGCATCACTTAATTCTACCACATGATATAGTTACTTAAGATCGGATCCAGTTTTGGCTAGCCTAGCCAGATTCTATCGTTATGCGTATATAACCTTCTATGTAATTACTATAACCTATTCAAGCTAGGTATTATACGAATTTACATTTCTACGAATCATGCCATTACCAGTACAACTTTTAAATCCTAATGGAGGTAAATTCATTCTTTTTCAAGGAATTTTAATACTTGTACAAAATTTTATAAACTTATCAGCTTAAAAATCAGTCCAAAATCAAAGATTAACAACTTCTTTATCAATATTATGTACTTTCCAAATATATTTTAGCTTTGTGTAATCTCTCATATAATGAAGAATGACGAATTTTAAAAGTACATGCGTTATTATTCGATTTTGGCTAGTCATTTATTTTTTTAATTTTTTTTATTTTTTAATGAACTACTTTAAAAGAAAGAGAAATGAATTTATATCTTTTGAAAAAAGATTACATGAAAGTAAATCTCGATCCACAAAGATACGTACGTACGTACGTACTGTAAGTATGTATGTAAGTATTTGCATTATGTAATATCAGTGAATGGGTATTATCGTTATTCCCGCGTTTTAATCAAAATTTCATTTTTTTAATACTAAATATATACACTCATGTGTGTCACAACTTGCTTTATCAATGTATGGCTCGAAATAAAACGGAAGTTATCGATAACCAATAAATGAAATTTCTGGATGATTCTAAAAGGTTGATAAATAATACCAAATAAAGGTCAATTAAAGATCTATTAAAAGTTAAAATACCAATATTGTGGAACAAAAAATTGCTTTTTTTGCATACATTCAAAACCTGGAACATTAAAATCAGGATCTATCCGATTATTTTATTAAAGAACAATATAATGATAATATTTGAAACATTTCTCCAAAAGGTCGAAACAAAACATATGCTATGACCTTTCCACAAATGTTATTTTCATTATCATTCGTACCGTAAAATTCTCGAAATAACGCCCAGGGGGGTGTGTTAATTTGAAATTTACCTAAATTAAGATTAATTCTCGAAATAACGCCCAGGGGGGTGTGTTAATTTGAAATTTACCTAAATTAAGATTAATTCGGGCCATAATTCAAATAACGCCAATGACCTGCTATCTTAAGAATTTACGATACGTATAATTTTTTTTTATAAAAAAAAAAAAATGAAATGCAATTTCGCGTCATTGAAATTAGCCAAAAAACCAAAAAAAATTATATAGGAAATTTCTATTATATCAATAAAATTAAGTCCTATGTGCATGCATAAATAAATAAACTACATTAAAATTTTTTATTGGGCTGAAACTAAGTACCTCCTTTCTCCTTTTCGTTAGGTAATAATAATATACATATTAATCATATTCCGTGGCATACTTCTTTAATATGCGCCAACAACAGATTTGTCACGGACCCACAATCATGATAGTGCATAATCGATATTTATCATAATAATTCTCGAATGAAATATCTGATCGCTATTACACAAAATAGGCTTTATTTGAATAAAACCTTAATATATATTATATAATAAATTTATATTAAAAAAAAAAAAATTTTGTTTACAAAGAAAGATGCAAAGCAAATTCATCATGTAAACATGAACTGCAGGGTCATACATAAGAAAAGAAAAGAGAAAAGTTGAATGTACGGTTTAAAAAATTCTTGTGATTGTCATTTTTTAAAGTATTTTTTGGTAATAACAATTTCGGTGAATGTAGAAATTCTGTGCTCCAATTTCGGCTAGACTAAAATATGTTTCTGTGCCGGGATTTTAACTGTTGTTTATTCGTAGTAAATTTAATAAAGAAAATATCATAGCAAATTTAACAAATTTAATAAAGAAAAAAAAATTTATAACAAAATTAGCAAATTTTAATAAAGAAAAAAATTTGTATAGTAAAATTAGCAAATTTTAATAAAGAAAAAAAAATTTATAGCAAAATTAGCAAATTTTAATAAAGAAAAAAAAATTGAATAAACAAAACTCGTAGCAAATTTAACAAATTTTAATAAAGGAAGAAAGTAATAAACCACTTTTCACAGATCACTAAACTTTAACAAGATAACTTTTAAACTTTTAAAAACAAGACAAGTATAATTAACTATTATGTTTTCCGTTATGATAAAATTTATTTTGCATATGTTTGCTTTAATATTTTGTAAAAAGAATTACTATTGATATCGCTATTATTATGCGAGTATTCTTAATTATTCATCCATCCATCCATCATAACATAATTTAATAATAACTTAATAACATAGAATTATTTTTATCTAAAAAATACAATAATGATATAATACATATATATAATATATAAATAAATAAATATATTAATATAATGATATGCTTTGATTTAAAAATGATGATAATATTTTTTTCTATAATTTTAACTTCATAAAAAATGTCTATGTATGAATTCAATTCACTTATATAATGAATAAATAAATAAAGTTATAATATGCTATATATTTACATAAATTACATAACATGTATATTTCTTCCAGAGAAATATTCTATTCTTAATCATCTAAATCTTCCTTACAAAAATCATCTTTATTGGCTACTGTACTTAAACAGCAATTATTAATAATATCTTCGTAATCAAACTTATCGCACAATGTCATTCTCATTCTATACATTGTATCAACCGGTGAAGGACGAAGTTCATCACTACTCTGTTCTAACCATTGTAGATTCCAATTAAGTCCTGGGAATGTAGATTCCAAATAGTTTCCTATCATATCACCAAATCTATTCATTATCAAATAAGCTTTTGTTCCAAAACCTCGTTCGTTAAGTATTGGAGTTATTAAAGGTATTGGAGATTTTCCTATAATTTTTGGTAAAACTGTCACAAGGTGTGGTATCCGATCTGATGGGTAGAATGATATCTCTAGGGTTACATTGAAACCATGAGCTGACATTAAGAAACGTTTTTGAAAATATAATGCTAATTTGTTGAGTGATGCTTTAAGGGCATCTACGAGATTATCAAGTTCAGCAGCAAGGGTTCTGCTGCGGAGAGATAGTTTAGATTTTTTTGAATGAGGGATCATAAAATATTCTAATTCTTCATCTAATTGTTTTTGTGTTATCGGTATCGCACATTTCACTAATAAAAGATTAATAACATTACATTAATATGTAAACATAAATAAATGTAATAAAGTATATGATAATAAATAAATAAATACCTTTATCAACAGAAGGAATTTTACCAGTTCTATAAAATTGTAAAATACAATAAAATAACCTTCCATTCCTATCAATATAGTATACATTTCCATTTCCATTTTTTGAATGTGGTGCCGCATGATTCTCTTCACTAAACATCATTCCCAACCTTGTTTGTGGGTATGCAGTAAACGTAGATCGATAAGCTTCATACTATTCAAATTAATAATTATGTAAAAAAATGCATTAGTTTTTTAAAAAAAAAACGCATTGATAGTGAATTAAGGTTATAAGTGACGTAATACAGTACCTTAATCCCACCAACAATTAGTATAACCCTCTCGCGTGAACCTTTTCTATTAGTCGCCATTTCTTATCGTTTATTGCTTAGTATGTGAATGCGTCTCTTAACTTTAATTTTTTATATCGTAAAGATTTTCTAAAAAAAATTTTTTTTTTTTTAAAAAAAAAAAGAATACTTCTGCTTTATATAAAATTTCGGATGTTTCTAAGTATTATATATATTTAGCATATTAATAGATATATAGTAAATATATATATATATTATATTAAATATATGCAGCCATGACTAGCCTATCTCATAAAAGAAGGACTTCAACAATTCCTTTGTTATATGCAGGATACACAAACATATATTACAGTACTATTCAAAACTGTATATCACAATGACGTATAACATGTTTATATACAAATCGGTAAAAGCCTTACGTAACAATACCAACTTTTTCTTTCTTTCGTTGTGATACGAAAAAAGTGACAGTGATAATAAATACAGATCGACTCTACCAGATTAAGGAAAATAAAGTATTTGAAATTGGTCGAAATATAAACGAGTATTCAATAGATTGTCTAGACTTATGCGATTTCAGAAATTTATCATTATTTGAATAATTTGAAATCGTACACTAATATTTCATTCGGGAGTATTTTAAACGGCTGAATATAATTAATAGTTATAATAATAATAATAAAAGTAGTTTAACGCGTAATTCTGTGATTAAATAAGCTGCATATTATTTAAAATTTTTTAATATATTGTTAAGTTATAAATAGTAATAATGCTGCACAGTTACGCTTTTCATATGAATTCTATGAATTCATTGAAATTTTAACATAATGCGCAATCATCGATCGATTCTTAACATCATTATTGATTTGATTACCGCTTTATCTTATTACGCAATATATACTAATGTACGACTTTGTTGACACGAGATTAGATTTTCAGGAAATTCGTGTATCCTAGTACTATCTTAGTACTATCTTAGTACTATCCTAGTACTGATAATTATTGTTGTTTGTACCAATCAATTCAATCAATTCGATTACAATATCATAAGATATAATATTGAACTGAAACATTTACTAAAGTATATCAAAAATGACATTTAATTTTTTTATTTCATTGATTTACAAGCTAAAATTATCACAAAATCTTATCTGATATTGATGAAAATTTATACTTTATTTAACTTAACCTTTTTTACTTTTTTATAATTCTAAAAAAAACTTGTATGAAAGATTAATGAACTTGAGCTTCTATACACACATTTCTTTACTCCTGTAACTCCTTTCTTCTTCAAAGAAGAAACATGTGTAAGTTCTTTTTTTCGAATATAGATGTACTGCAAGTTGAATCTAATAGGTTCATGTAACAGTGCAAAAAGAATATTTTGGATAAAATGCATCAAAACTATTATACTTATTATACTTATTATACTTATTATACTTATATGCTGTACAGTTTTCTATCTTTGTACATTTTTAAAACCTCCGTATCGCGTGAGACTTTGAAAATACACAACATGAAGAAAATAATGATGTGTAACCTAAAGTTGAATAATGTCACTACGCCAAGTGGCTATTTATCTTCATGAACCTAAAGACATAAATCGGTTTATAGTATTCCTTAATTTTGAAATCATTCATTTTTAATTGATTTACGCGACTTAAATATTTATATTAAATTTTAATATATAATAAACTATATATTATTATTGACTAGGTATGTATATATATGAAAAGAAAAGATTATGATTGTTTAATCGATTCTTTTAAATTTTGTTAAATTATAACTATAAAACTTAAATACAATACGTATAATTCTACTAACCTTGAATACAACCTTAATTATAAACCTAACCATAATTAAACCAGCCAATTTTAGTACTGTTCAAATTTAAACTGATGTAAATATTATGATTATTATGATTATTATGATATCGATTTTCATCAGTTTAACGAGAAATATATATGAGAGATCCGCAATTACTTACGTATACCATTTGAGATAAGTACTCTAGAATAATGATAACAATTGTAACACATTATTTAGATATAATTGTAGTTTCATACTTGTTTCACTATTCTAAAAATGTTATGGCCTAAAAAAATTTGTAAACTAAAAAAATTTTTTTTGATCTAACTCTTAAATGAATAACGTTAAGATCAACATGAAGTTTTAAAACTACCGCCATCATTTTATTGTTATTCTCTACTTTAACAATCTACATGCATATATGCATACATACGTACGAACGTACAGTACCTACATACGGGTGTTGTACTGCTGTTCTGCATTGTGACGATAATGGCTTGCAATAAGGTATCGCCTAATTAGTATTCTATTACAGCAATATTTATCGTTATCTAACAAATAAATAACTCATATAAAGTCAATTTGGCCTCAACGCTACAAACATTTCAAAAATTTTCTTATGTGAAGATAATTTCATCTATTTTTTTTTTTATTATTATTTTAAAAAAAATAAACAAATATGATCAAAAATTTTATACAAAATTTTAATATACCATCAACTACTAGTCTTACTAGTCTTACTAACTTTGCAACAACAACAACAAGCTCAAGCACCTCTAATACGATTGTTAATTTCGAGAATGATGATAATGTCGATAATTCAGATGAAAATAGTATTCTTTCGGAAAGTTTAACTACCAAAGAAAAAAAAGTTGTGTTAAATGTTGGTGGAATAAAGGTATTTTTACACTTCTTTTAAAGAGAATTTCAAAAAGTGGCTTAAAAAAGTGATTATTATTAACTTTATTAACTTAATTAAAATATTTAAAAAATAGTATGAAACTTATAGGTCAACTTTAACCTTATATCCAACAACATTACTTGGTTCCATATTTCTTTATAGTGATGATGAAAATCCTTTTTGGGATCCTGAACTTGAAGAATTTTTTATCGATAGAGATGGTCATTTATTTCATTATATTATGCAATTCTATCGAACTGGTAAAGTTCCTACTATTGATCAAGGTTAGATATCATTTTATTAATTTTGAAATCAAAATTTCAATATATTTTCATATTTTATGTTACTTCTCTTTTTTTTAAAAAAAAAAATTAGCAATAGGATTAATTCCAATATCAGCAGCTGAGTTAGAGGATGAATTGGAATATTTTAAAATTCCTATATATCCACCTTCACAATTTTCATCAACAACATTATCACCTAATCAACTTTCTTTACGTCATAAAATGATAGCTTCTGAAATTGATTCTTTTATTCAAACTTTAACTTCAACTCTTTTAGCTATCTCTTCTCAATTTAAAAGAGAATTCTTTTTTAAACGTGGTTTTCAAATTTATTTTGAAATAAATTTTCATAATAATGATCGAATAACTGATTTTAACATTGTTCCAAATGTACCTTCAACTTTAAAACAACAATTACAAAAAGAATTCGATGGTTTTGAAGTGTTGGGTTATGCTATTTTAGATAAATTTGGTGAAGATATTGGAAGGTATATGATAAGTAATGTTCAAGGATGTACTTGGGAATGTAATAAAACTAAGGATGTTGGATGGGGTGGTGTACATGAAATATATAAGGTTAAAATTGTTGTTGAGAATAGTTTTGAACATGAAGATGTGGTTGGTCATTGTTGTTTGGCTAATATCGGTAATGAGACTGGAATTTGAAGTCCATAATATGTACAGTACGTACGGTATGAATTTGTAGATTTAGAACTTTATAAGAAAGATGGATAAAAAAAAATAATAATAATAATTTTTATTTTTATTTTTTTTATTAATAAGATAGTGGATTGTGATATTGTATTATTCAAAACGCGGGGTAAGATAGAATTGGGTTTAACTTGTATATACAATAACATTTCAAAAACCTATCAAATTATTTATTTACTATATATTATATATATATATATATATACATACATATAGAACTTTTTCATTTATGTATTTTTATGTTAGATTTTAAAAGTAACATCTTCTCCTGTATATTATGAATTATTCACCTTTGGTTTCACTTACTCGAAATTTAAGTTCAAAAAAAAAAAAAAGCTAATAATAAATAAATAAATAAATTATTATGGAGTAAATAATCATTTTTTATATGCATTATATATGCATTCCAATGACTTTGTGTAAGCCGCCCGCTTGCATATACTTTGCCTCGTTATATTAGCAATCAGTCTTGCATGATAAAAAACGTTATCCATCGGGATCTAGCGAATATCATTTTCAAAATTAACTACGATTTAGATAGCTTAGATAAGGATACCATTTCAAATTCGTTATAGTTTCCTGGTTACGTAGAATTTTCGGTGGGTCTGATTATAATTTTATATATAATTGTTATAGCTTTGTTTTGAAAGATTAATATATTACATAGATATCCGGTGCAGAAAGGTTTACATTTATCCTAGTGCCAAAAATGGGCGGCAAAAAAATCAGGCCAAGATTGCGCAAATACTCATTAAGTGAAAAATGGTCCTGAGCCAATTTTACCATAGCGATAGAGCAGGCCTATTTTTTAAAAGATTCCTTTTTTATAGCTAAAACCAATTTCCGGCCAAAATTAAGAATTTTGAAGATCATCGGCCTAAATTAATTTAATGCAGGCCAAATTGCCACGCATTTTTTGCGGTAGCTATGTTTACGTCACTGCGTCACGTCCCATTGTAAACCCATCATTGTAACCCTGTGACGTAATCTTTCCGCATAATCAGAATGAATGGTAGATTGGTTAGACTAATCAACTTGCTTATCATCAAGATTTGATTATCGGATTGAATCAATGTATTATAAATATATTAGATTTGGTTCGTTGTTCTGCAAGTATAGTTAAATTTCAAAAAGAAGTAAGTTCATTCAAATTTTACACTATCATATTTTACACTTATTTAGAATGGGTTTCAACTTATCTATTATCAGTTATCTGTTATTGAATCTGCACGTACGTACATGTACCTAATTTTATTCATTAGACTAGATTTATTAAGAGAAACCATTCATAGAGAAACACCTTATTTCACCCGACAATTAGTTTATTTTTCATATAATCAATTCGCTGACAAGTTTATTTCGTACAGTTTATTTTGCCGACGAAAGGCTAATGTGTAGTGATGTGAATTCTCCCAAATCACAATTTCTCTACCGGTAGTATAGCAGACTTTCATTCTGATTAGCTAATTCCTCTACCTATATATACATATAGTGCAAGCCGTAATCAACTAATCAGATTTAATAAACTGCTAACCATCTACCTACCATCTACCACTTTATACATTAATCTCACGGTAGCTACCGGTAGTTACCAGTGGTAGATAGCTACCGGTAGCTACCAACTCACATCACTACTAATGTGCCTTTTTGAAAAAAATCTATTTTAATATAATTAACAAAATTCATCCACATCGTCTTGAAAATAAGGAATTGCTACTAAATGTGCACGATATCTTATAATTAACTGGTTTTTCTGTAATGGCATTGGTTGTTTTAAGTTTGTTCTGTATATTAAATCATTGTTAATATTTATATGTAATAAACAAAGTCTATTCCATTGCTGTTTGGTTTGAAATTTTTGTTACGAAGATTAAGTATATGGCTTTTTTTTTTTTACACTTGTTTATAATAACTTTATAGAGCAATTATTCACATTATTAATATTAGGATATGGATATTTTACAAATTTACACAAAATTCGAATGAACGTTTCATTAATTTAAACTTTTTTTTTCTATAATTCTTCAGATTACTGATTTTTGACTTTTAGGATAGTGGCCAGTTTGTCAAATTTCTTCACACAATATTTTTCGTTGACTAATATATGGTTCTAATATTTGTTCAAAGAATTAAAATTATATTGTCACGATTATAAATACTAAACGATGCTTAAAGTTTGATCATGTTCGGGTTGTTCATATCGTTATGTTATGTGACTTGTATCGAGCCGGCTTAAATCGGCTTTTGAGCCGAGCTGAGCCGACTCAAGCTGTTCCCATCCCTAGTGACGACTAATACTTGAATGAATATGGAGAAAAGTTGAAAGTACGCGATATAATCTCATTATGTAGTTAAAAGTATACTATATACCATTTTGGTCGCAGAATATCAAAATAAAAAAATTTTGTTGAATTTTGTAATTATTAATTGTCAATTCGACTAAGAATAATAGAATTTCTTAGGCGCAATTTACTATTAAATTTCATATAATTATGAAATCTTCTTTTCCTCCATAGTAAACTAATTTTTTTACTAATGTACTTTAATTTTCTAATAAAAATATATAAAAAAAAACTTTACATATGCTATTGGTTTAGTAGATTACAAGTAGGGTTCGAGGCATGGGTAAAAAAATTAGGCATGCCTTTTTTATATAGGAAATCCCATTTTAACTAATTTCGCTTTTCGTTACTTCCAATAATCTTGTTTGTCAAATCCCTAGCAAGATTACTAAAATTGGTACGTAGTCACTAGGGATGGCAAAAAACATGTTTTTTATTTTTTCATGTTTTAAAATATGTTTTAAAACATGTTTTAAAACATTTTTTGTGTTTTTTATTAAATAATATATAAAAATATTTCATATGAAGTTCAATTAATCTAAGTTGCTATCTTTAATATTAAACTTTAAAATTGAAACTTCATATATATATATAATTCTAGCCAGGTACTATTAGATATTTAAAGTGACAACTTCAAATAGGTAGCTACTTTATATAAGTAATATGCCAATTATATGATTTTTGGATTTTATAATTTGTTCTAGAATACTCTAAAATATTACAAATAATAATGTGATTAAAATTCTATAATCTGATTGGTTAATAAATATATATTTGATTTTTATGATTTTTATTGAAAATTTTCAGGGTTTTAAAACATTTAAAACATGTTTTAAAACACGATGTTTTAAAACATTTGCCATCCCTAGTAGTTACTATTTGAAATTTGTACACAACCAGATCTTGTAACCCAGCATGTAATGACTTTTATTATTATTATTATTATATTATAAATCAAATTTATAAGACTTAATTAAATTTTAATTTTAAAATTTATTGCATAAAAAAAGAAAAAGCCATGTTCATTTGAAATTATTCAGTGAACTTTGTTATTTAACTTTACATACTATAACATGAAATATTTATAAATTTCAAATTTATCAATAAAAATATTTTTGTTTATTTATGCCAGATTGTTGAAAAGTTTTTTTTTCTGGTTCAGATTTATTATATCACCTACTTCCTTTTGAATTGGTCTAAAATCTGATTCAATATTCTTCAACCATTTCTTTTGCTGCAGAAAATTCAATATTAGATAAATCTATTTATTATAATATTAGATAATTTCTACTTATTCATTTAACTTGTTATCTTTTGCAATGTTATTATTGTCAAAACTTATTGAATTACTGTAATTGTTATAAAAAATTGTGTATAATCAAGTGATTGTGAATTTTTCTTTTAGCTTCTTTAAATTAATGACATGCAAATCTTTGTCATTTAGTGTCTGCCCATCTACCAGCTTTCTATGTTTTAGATAGAGTTTGGTAGCCCAGATAAACAACTGAATATTGAGGGTAAGTGTTTTGACAGCCTAACTGAATAGCTTGATGTCAAAATGGAAAAAGAGAGTCTGTATTTGGTAGAAGGTATAAGTATAATAGCCCAAGTGGATAACTTAGATATTGGAAATAAATTTCTTTTTGATAATCTTATCAAACAGCTCAAATATCAAGTGAGAGAGGTTAAGTAGGTTTTGAAAAAAATAGACATGATGCTAGGAATCGACTGTGAGCAACAAGATAGAATCTCATCTGTGTATTTTATAGTTATATTTGTTGGTGAGTCAAGTGACAAAAGCAATTTTCCTAGCAAACAACACATTGATAACCAAAAATGGTGAGTCGGTCACTAATCGATTTGAGACTACAATTAGCTTAGTCAAATAGAGATGTTCGAGTGGATAATTTAATCGTAGGTATGGCTTCTTTATCTTTTGTTAAAAGTTGTTAATATGCACTAACATATATCCAATTTACTTTACAATGCTTTTAATCACAACCATGGCTTGGGCTTTACTCTTGGCTCAAACTGAAACAATGCAACCACAACAATTCCCGATACATTGGGAATGTTGGACACAATAACCACAACTGTCCTTGGTATGTTGAGAGAGTTAGAAAACTACAGCAGTCCTCAGTCCATCAAGAAATCAACTAGAAAGTAATCGTTTACGAAATTTCATGAGCAAGACAAGTATCAAGCAAAGATTTTTAACTATGCACTTAGTGATCAATATGGATAAAGTATTTAATTAGAGCATGTTTACTTAGGTACTTTAAGTTTTATATAGGTCAATTGGGTAATTTTATTAGAGGATTATAATAATTGTAAGCAAATAAAACCTATTTTCTCTAAAGCCTTTACAGCCTTTATTTATAATAAAAGATTTGATATTACAATATATTTGATATATTTAATATATTTGATATATATATTTGATATATTTAATATATGCGCCTTGACCACATGATCCTGGGTCACACTTGAGCCACAGTAGGTAGGTTGAATTCCAGGGCTCACACCATACAGGAAGATTCCCAAAATTCCTGGTCGAATAGGCCGGAATCGATTAATTTTGCTCAAGATTACCAAGAATTTTACTAATAAAATCATAGTCATTTATTAAATAGAAAATGCCTAGCAAATAATTTTACTTAAACTCCAAATAGCCAACTCAACCACGATGTATTTCAGCTATTCTGACCCAAAAATTTAGGATCTTTCTGTAAAAAATTGTATTGTATTACATACTCACTTGTCAGATATACAAACCTGGAATTATTTGTTTGAAGCTATTGTATGATTATTGTATCATGTATATACAGATATTTACTGCTGTTATATATTTGTAAGAGGTTATCAGTACAAAGTCTCTTTGGTTTTTATTTCTCAACGAAGGTAAACCACATATTAACAAATTAAAGATCATTATTATAATATATTCTTCTACTAATTAATCGATGCAATCCTACTCTTAAAACAACAAAATGCTTTTTAAATCTGTATTGTTTCTTTTGCTTAAAGGTCTAAGATATTCTTGTTTTTGTTTAATCTTATACTCTAAAGCTTCTGCAACCGTTTTTTGCCCTTTTCGGTACTAGTCATCGATTTTCAGTTTCAAGACTTCGTTTTTTGTTTTTTCTAACAACGATCTGGATACTTTAATAGCTTCCTGCCAACAACCTCTAGCTCTATCCAATAAAACTTTATTCATTCTAATATTATCGAACTCAATAGCAATTCGTTTTCTATTGTTAATTTTAATCAAGTTGATTGCTTTCCCATCTAAATCAGGGCTTTGGGAATATACAAGGAATTCAGGTTCAATATCAGAGTGGAGGGTAAGAATCATGGCATCCATAAATGCTTGTTTCAAAGCTTTCTCATTTGAGTATACAATATTATTGTCCTTTAGTGGCTTCAGTAAGGTTTTTTCTATAAATCTACATAGGGGTTCTATATTATTGTTAGCTTCTAATACTTGCAAAAGCTTCTGTATAGAAACTAGATAATCGTCTCGCTATTCGTATATTCTTAAGGCTTCTCTAATAAATTCTTTTTTAGTGAGACGATTGGGTATTCAAAAATAATATTTGCTGATAAGTCAGGTTTATATGTAATAGCTCCTATGTAAAACATGAATGAGAGTAGAGGTGTGTAATTAGTAGCTAATTCATATATATCAGTGAGCCTAAATCATTGAGCTATGCCAGTCTTGAATTCGAGAGAATGCCAAGTGAGTGCCTCTGTTAGTATAAATTTACCAAGAGGGTTATTAATGACTAGATTCAATAATATTTGCAAGGGAAGTGTCTGAGAATCCCTTGGGAAATTATGCAAGTTATCCCGAATTGTTGAAGAATTCAAACTACTATTTAATTCCTCTTTTTGTTTCAAAAATTTTCTAATACAATACAAGACATAGGCAGTATTAAAGATTCTTTTTGGCTAGTTTGGAGTAAAAAAATAGCCACCATTTTCGTTTCTTGATCATGTAATTAGCTCATTTTTAATGCTATTTGGCAAACTATTTTCAAAAGCTCTATTTAAGAGCACCTCTGATCCTTTAAATCTGTACATGTCCCAAAAATGATTGTTAAGCACTAAATCTTTAAAAATGTTGAACCCAAAGGTGAACTCGGACATTATAACAGGGTTATACCTATTTGAAAAACATAGACTATGCCTTTATCACAGATATTCTTTAAACAACAATAAAGCTCTTTAAAAGAGCTTTCGATTTGTTCGAATTTGCTTGGCACTATCAATGGTTGTAAGATTGTTTCATTTTTTAGGGCTTCAGGTCGTATTCATTGATTAATATATAAAGCTAAGGCACAAAATAATATTAGTATCCAAAAAAAATTTAACTTAATGAAAGACAAAATACCTTGTTATTGCTTAAATTAACAACATTTATCAACATTTTTGAAATTTTCCAAAGCATCATCTTTTATATTAATGGCTTGAAAGTAACTTTCTAATTTTTGTTTATACCGCTCCATGAATAATGCCATATTTTTATTTAAGATAATATTGAAATTTAAATTAAAAATATTATATGTCTTGCTAACACAAAGACCAGAAAAATTAAAATTTAAAATAAGAAACAACAATGCCAATTTTGTGGGGTTTTCTCCAATATGTAAGTCACTGAAAAGTTTTTTAAAACTTTCTTTTCTATTTTTTATATCATAGTAAGCGGCCAAAGTTGAAAGAAACAATGTCTTCCCAAAATGGTGAAAACGTAGTGAAAGAATGGAATGGATATTAAGATCTTTGATTTTAGGGATTAAATGAGTTTTATTAAGGTAATACCACACTTTATATCTCAGCTCTGCAAATGAACCTGTTAAAAGTATTTTAAGAGGTTCTTCTGATCTTATCTGCACAAGATAGGAGAAGGTTAGTAAGTATTTTGTGGGATAAAAATAATTGTTAGTTATACTAACTTTTTTTATTCGTTCATGAATCATGCTTCCATCTTCCTTAGCTATTTGTAGATGTTTGATTGATTTATTTGTAGCTTTATTCTAAAACAAAATGTATATATTATTGTTATATAATATACAGTTATTAAAAATAAATTAACTCTTAATACAAATTTGTAAATTTCTGTAAATAATTTGTTCGGCAGTTGTTACTACCATATGCACTTGATTATTTTAAATAAATACAGAATATGTCAATCAAATTAGTATAAATCTCAATCAAATTCAAAAAATTTGATTTTGATTTATCATTGATATCTCATAATCTAGTAATTAAATTTTGATAATTTTAATACTATTTGAATTGTCTCATCAAGACAATTTAAATGGTACTAAAATTATCAAAATTTAATTACTAGATTATGAGATATTAATGATAGATCAAAATCAAATATTATGAATTTGATTAAGATTTATACTAATTTGATTGACATATTCTGTAATGTGATTTTAACCTCGAAGTTTTGTTTTCTTTAAGTAGTTTTTATATATAAAATGGTTTAAAACAAAGTAAAAAAGAAAAAAAATCTGTGCAAATTTGGTATGACAGTAACAACATGGCCGTATGCTAAAAAAAAACTCTTTCCCATAGATCATCAAAACAATAGAAAATAGTAAAAATAAACAAACTACGTTGCCTAAAAGTTGTAAATAAAACTAAATAACGGCCTTTAAGGCACACCAACATAATTAAAGAACCTAACTAATACTTTAACAAAGCTAAAAAGAAATTAAGACATATTACTTTCCACCCCTGAAGCCTTTGAAAACTTCTTTGTTTCATTAACACCACCTTCCTATACCAGGATGGATCCCTCTGGGGCCTCTGACAGCACCAATAGCAGAACACAGGCAAAAACACCTGATAACCCACCCCCTCTAAAGAAGATGAAAACAACTAACGAAAGTAGCCAAACTAAAGTGATCACTGGTGATTCTTTACAAATCTCTTTTTGTACTGCACCCAAAAAATCAAATAAAAAATCACTCCAAAGTGAACATTCTAGCAAACCCCTATCAAAAAACCAAATGACATCATCTGATCCAAACAAACAAACAAGTGTAGGAAAAAATGAACAAATGATACCATCTGATCTAAATAAACAAACAAGCGTGGGAAAAAAGAAACAAACTCCTATGGCCCAGGCCAATACAATGATCATTGATTCCTATTTCATCAGCCCCTTTCCTGATCTTATCCAAAACAACCCCTGGAACCCCGAGCAACAACCACCGGTGCCAATAGAAATGAACCAACTTACTACACCAAATCACAGCCTCGAGGATGACATGGATACACAATCCAATGCAACAGTTGAATCCCAAGAACCTGAAAAGAAGTCTTATAGCAAAGCACTTACCTCAAACATAAAAACAAACAACTCCAAATCTGATAAGTCACTTACCTGGGCTAATTCGGTGGCTAAGGCCCTAGCTAAAAGCCGCAAAGTAGAATTTGATACCAACCTTTGGGATATCGATACCATCATCAACGCCTTTATTTCTCCCGAACTCTTGCAATCATTTTTCACGCACAAGATTCAAGCTCAACCAACTAAGCACAATATTCCCCACACAATCTGTGATAAATTCGACTACCTCGACTCTGCTTTCTTCCGTTCTTTCACCAGAAACAAGGAAACTCAACCCGAACACCAAAAGGGGTTTGACTCACTTTTTCAAATGGCAATAGAAAAGTACAGAAGAGTACATGACGTCTGTTTCATAAACAAGTTTAATAGAGACCAAGTATTCAAGAAACTTAAGACCAAACTCGCAATAGACTATATTTGCAATTTAGACTTCATGTTAATTAGCCCCCATGACTGCACTTGCATAATCTCTTACTGTTTTAACTTTGCCCAAATTACCTGCCTGATCGAGTTTGAAGATATGAGGAGCCTCCTTAACAAAACACACACCTCTTTCCTTATTCTGTTACCTGAGCAGCCCCTGTTGATAGACTTGTCTATCCAGGAAATCCTCCCTTCTCGCTACCAATTCAAGACCGTAACCTCACAAGGGGCACTGTATTGGCACTATGTAAAGTGTTTACCTTCGAAAAACTCCCTGATAGCTACTTCGACACAGTTCTCGAACTACTCCCTAGTGACCCTTCCAAACTAAACGAGGAAATTCAGAATCTTTTTCCAATCACTGAAAGATCTGCACTACCATATCTCTCCAAATATTGAAAAAAATTAAAACATTACTATTTATTAAGAAAGGAAATTCTAGCTAGCTATTTTAATCTACCTGAAGCCAAACCACAACTTCCTATTATACCACAAAACCTCAACTCGGCAGTTAGACACCTATTTCTATACAATCTCCGAGATGCTATTGACTTTAAAAAATATGTTAATATCCTCAGAGAACATTACAGCTTTAGACATGTTCCGAATGACTTCTTTGTATAAAAGAAACCACTACCAGCTGACCCCTACTTAATTCACACTATTGGAGATTACACATTCCCAATAACTGATACACATCTAGCCAAGGAATTCATTGCAGAAATCCAGGACTCATACAAGTTCAACATCCCACTTCCACTCAAATATATGACTGCCAACTCTACAAACAAACCACTCTTCCAACTGAACCCAATCTTATCACTGAAGTTAGCTTAACTTTACCTATAAATAGTCCAAAAGTATTAGTCGATACTGCTTGCCTTCTTCGAGAACATTACTTTTTTCACCAATTACCTATTGAGTAGATCAATATCTAAGTAAACCCAGACCCTTTAACCAAACCACCATTACCAAGTCAACTCTCCGAAATCACAGCCTACTTAGAATAGCTGGAATTACATCACACTATTGAGGTTCCTATCACAAAACACAACTGGATTGAGATGACAATTGCAGACCTAAAAGAACACTTCAACTTCCAAGACACTCCCCCTCATTTACTTAACTTACCCAACTTACTTGACCTCGAATGGGATATCCTCAACAATTACTCCCTACTACTATAAGCAACTCAATACCTAACCAACAATCACTCACTCCTACTACAAGTGACTCAATACAAAGTGGCTCCCTACAATCTCCTTCTCCCAAACAGACAATATGCAAAACTTTAATTTAAACATTTCTGATCACATCAACATTATCACCCATAATATCCAGGGCCTAAACAACAACCTTAAATTTCAGCTCTTTCTTGAACACTGTGCCCAACAGAACTATTACATAGTTTCAATTACCAAACCCAAATTAAAAAATCAAACCCAATCTCAATGACTAACCCTTTTTACAAAATTTATACATCCAATCACCAACCCACCCAGGGTGCCTCCCAAGCAGCAAGTTTGGGCACAGCATTGGTGTTACACCCCCAGCTACAACCATATATCCACAACATACAGACTTATCCTTTTACCTGCAAACACACAATTAAGAGTGATTTCTACATACCTACCCTCAAACCAATCAACACTTCATAGAACCACCACCAATATTATTAATAATTGGCTTTTAGAAGCAAGACAAAAAAAATGGTATGTAATTGTCCTTGAAAACTTTAACGATAATCTGAAAAGAAGGAGAACCCAACACTCAATCTTTAACGTCCTTGAAGCAAACTCCCTCGCAAGCCTCCTTGACTTCCACTCCATCACCAGACCCACCTGGAGCAGACAAAACTTACAAAGTCAGATAGATGATATCTGAACGAATTCAGAGCAATTACTCCAATTTAAAACTCCCAGCATTATTGACGCTACTGGCATAATTGACAGTGACCATGCAATTATCACGACAACATGGTGGTCCAGGCTAGACATCCCCAAATGCTGAACAAAAAAGAAAAAAAGAAAGTTCTTTCTCTATAAGCAAATGACACAAGATACTTGGAAAACCTTCACCAAACTCATCGAAGTAAAAGCTGAAAAAATCCTTTCCTCTGGCCCCATCGAAGATCTAACTATGCTTAATAAACAATGGAACTCTCTTGCTCGAATTATTTTGCAGTCTGCAACAGAAATAATACCCATTTCATATAAGGCTCCCCGTGTCTTTCATACTTACTCACTACAATCTACTAAACTACACTCGGCACTTAAACTGGTCAACAGCTTCATTCACATCTGTAAAAATTCACACCCTCCCTATATTCTTAGCTTTCCTATACCAAACAGTTAATACATAGCTGGCCAAAGCCTCTTATCTCCTCTCTCAATTCATATCTCCACTACTCCCCCAACAAGACCTCACCTCAGCTCTCTGCCACCTCAAAGACTCTGCTTATACTATTTTTATTGTCTGAAAAATCGAAGTCTCAATAGCCCAAAGGGACTCCATTCAATTCTATATTAACAGAAGATATAATAACTTCCAAAGCAACACTACCAAAATGATAGACAGCATTCTCTAACGGTATAATAACAGAATAGATTTCGATAAAATCATCACACCTAACCAAGTTATTACCGAACTCTCTCAAATAAAGCAAGCGACACACAGTCACTTCTACAACTGGACCAAAGCCAATCCCCCCAACATGGCCTTCACAAATGACTGAGCTCAAGATTATCAACACCTTCTTTCAATAGCTTTGAAAAGCTATGACTCACTTTTGCAACCTGTCTCACTACAAGAGATAAAGGATACTATAGCTAATACACCTCGAAAAAAAGCCCCAGGCCCCTCCAGCATTCCAAATGAAATACTTCAACACCTTTATACACACAGCAAAACCATGCTTTTATCCATTTTCAACGCTTGTCTACACCTTCAAGATATCCCCACATCTTGGAAACAGGCTAATATGTGGCCCATTTCTAAAAAAACAACTTATAATCACAATCTTAATACTACCTGTCCAATCACACTGATAGAACATACTCACAAAATACTTACCAAAATTCTTACACAGCACCTCAGTTCTATACTAACAAAAAACAACATTCTCTCTCCTCATAACAATGTTGCTCTGCCACACACATCTACCTTTAACCCTATCCTTACCATTTCACATATAATCGAAGACAGTCATATAAATAACAAACCCTACTGGATTTTAGCCCAAGATATGTCTAAGGCATACGATACCATTTATATACCTCTTTTGGCACTTGCTCTCAAATGAATAAAGATCCCTCAGGCTTCAATTAATCTCATTGTATCTATCTTCTCTCAACATCATAACTGAGTCATTACTGACCACGGACTTACCTCATCATACTCCATCGAGGATCAGATCAATCAAGGGGAAACCATTTTACCGATCTTATGGTTTATCTACTATGACCCTCTCATTGCGAAGGTTAGTAGACTCATACCAGACTATACTCTTTAGGCAAACTCCCCCAAAGGCATTGCAACATTTAGTTCCTCTATAACTGCTTACATGAATGATACCATCTGGATTGCCTTCAGCAAACCTCAGCTTTAGCAAATTCTCGACATTATCTGTTCTTTTCTTTCATATGCTAATATCAAGGTTAATCCCTCCAAATCAGTACTTATCACTAACAACAAAAATCCAGACCCTCACATAAATTTCCTCAGAAGTACTATCAACAACATTCAATCTAAAGCCTTATTTAGACACCTGGAAACTTGGTTCTCACGTGACCCATCGCTTCAACCCATACAAGCACACATATTAAAGGAAATACGTCACAGCATTAATAAACTTAGACACTCACAGATTACACCCAAATAGGCAGTCTATATAATTAACAATGTTATTCTCACACAAGCAGCTTACCGACTCCAAAATTTCTACCTCAGCCCTATGCAGCTAAAAAACATTACCAACTCATACACCGGCTTAGTAAAGCAAAAGGTGCTTCTCGCCCGATCTATACCCAATTCTACTATTCACCACCCAGATATTTATGCTCTAAAAACCCTAACATATATTCAACAACAACAGCATATCCAAACACTTGACCAAACCTTTAACTTCCCTGACTTTGATATATCTTCACTAAAAGTCAGATTATAACAGCTGCAAAATGCTGCATATACAAACCTCTCAATTCTGAATGACACCCACTTTCCCCCACAAAGAACACAAAACCCATACAGCTCAAGCAATCTTGTCCCTCCATGGCCTCAATATTAGCCTCATCTGTGGTGCAAACAACTAGCTCATTCCCCAAAACGATTCTGGAACCTCTATTAATAGGCTAATAGGCCAAATTAAACGCCTACAATCGATTAAGACCTTCCTCAACAGGCACAACATCGGTTACATTGAACAATTCTTAAACATCCACAACAATCACATCCTAGAGTGGAAGCAGATTCACTATAATATTTCCAAAATCTCACGTGACAGAACACCCCGATGGTTTTATCAAATTCAAAGACTGATAGTAGACAACGCCAATCTCTTAACCACCCTAGTATACCCAAACCCATTCATCAACCAGCGAATCCCTTTTGGCAAAAAAACCTGGACTATTACAAATACAAAAACCTTTGGCAAAATATCAAGTTACTAGCAACACCTGGCCATCATACAACACTACATGCTTGACCATCATACTCTCATGCTATCCCAATGCCAAAACTGTATACAGAACGACAAATCACTAAACAAAGCCAAATGCACCTTTACATGCCCAATACAATATCTATACCAAATTCAAGTCAACTATAAGAGAATTATTCATGCACACCTACCAAGTCTTTTCACCAAAACCCGCTCCTCAACCAATGAACCTATTCATACTTACACTATTTTACCCACCATCAATTACAAAACCTTATACTGTTTTTCCCAAATTTTCACCAACAACCAACCACAAGTCTGGACACTTTTTACTAAAACAAATTTCGACTTATCGATTACTATGCATTTATCTTTTAAAAAATTTCAAGCCAGTTTTCCTCCCACTGCCTGTGTGCATTTCACCAAGCCAAACATGACTTGGCTAATTACTAATAAACACTGGCACTCCCCCATCTTAGTGGCACTCTTAACAATTGCACTACTTCTCACAGTCAGCCCCCCTCATACCCAAATTACAATTAATACCAAACTACCATAGCTTTTCCCCCTTCTCTCTGTAAACAACTACGACTACTTCGATAAACGCAAAGCTGACTTCAATTGGGTCAAACAAATAATTTTCGCTATCAAGACTGCAAAGGATTTAACAATTCTACCCTCATTTACAAACCAAGAACCCCTAGCAAATAATCCAACCCACCTGGAGATACAAATTGACCTAGATTCAAGCACGGTCCTAAACTTAGCTTTCACACCAAAATTTCACCAGGTTCTTTATACCTACTCAATCTATAATCTACCCAAAATACTCCACAAAGCTCAAAACTGATCCAACTGGCTTCATCAAAACAGAAATATCACTCTAAATAACCTTCATCCAGAAATCAATTGGCAACTAACCTTCGAATCCATTAATTCAAATACAACGACACACAGACCCTAAAAAAGCTAAACTGAAAGCATTCAAAGTGAAATTACTAACTAACGAACTACCTACTCACCTTACTTTGTTTAACAGAAATCCAGCTAAGCACCCCAATCCTATTGCACAAAATGCCTAACCAAATCGAAAACATTTCCCACTTACTATCTTGCCGACACCACCCACTATCTCTATGACAACTTACTATCAACTCAATTAAAGAAATTAGCAAAAAACACACACTAACAACCCCTAACCTCAAGCAATTCACACAATTCTTTATTATGCTCTATACCCAACATCAAGTTTCTCTCAGAGTAATCTCCAATGCAAATCTTGGTTCTTTTACTACAAAAAAAATCAATTCAAAAATAGTACCTGAACTATACCATCAGATTATAAAGACAATATATACTGATATTTGAAAAACAAGCAGGGTTAATCCTCAATCACCCTTAACTCCCAACTGTCTGGTTCTGGCATTTTCCCCAAATACTACAAGGAACACACTTCCTGTACCACAATACTACTCAACTTGGTTAAATAATTTCATAGTTTCTAACCAAACCAACCCTAATTTCATAGCCTAGAGGTCTTGACCCATCTAGCCAAGAATGGGTCGTGAGTAAATTTTTTTAGATAGCTCTAACCTCTCATTCCCCTAAATTTCAATATGTCTTCTTACTTTTGTAACATAATCATATTTTAATAAAGTGAATTGAGGAAAGACTTCTCTTGAAAAAAAAAAAAAAAAAAAAAAACATGGCCGTACGCTATATGTGTCTTACTAGCGGGTTCAAAAAAAAAAAACTCTCCGCACCATTAATGTTAAGCATTCTGATATAGGTTCAGCCTTTCGGTCTTGAAATAAGGTCCAGATCTCTTTAACTAGTGATGACTTTTTTTCCTTCTATTAATGTATTATTTAGTTAGCAAAGCTAAATTTGTCAATACAAACAGTTCGTGTAATCCCATCTGAATGGTATGTATTCTGCTTCTAATTGAATAGAAAACTATCTGAATCGTAATTTATACATCTCCCAATCATAATCAGGAGTGCTAGGTGATTGAACGCAGATCTGTAACCTATCCAAGAGCACTTACATCGCTTTTCAGACCCGCCCACTACCAATAGAATCATAATTTTCTGATTACACATAATGAAATAGGAAGTACTTAACCTGGAATGAACTATATGCTCTACTAGCTTGAGCTCTTAAATCCACAGGTGTACTCTCCCAACTCATTATTTTTAGTAAGTTGCGTGAGTATCTATTATGTACTTCTACTTTATTGAATATAAAATCAGAGCATTTTTGGTGATTTAATAAAAAACTAGCGAGAGATCATTTACGCCATGTTTTAAAGTATTCAGAATCTAATAAAAAAAATTTTATGATTACTGAAAAAGTAAAGCAGAACGTACTGAGAGCGTAAACTTACTATCTATTACTTCGGTTAAGTCGAATGATTCGCTTTCTGAAGACATATTCTTTTTAATCTTTATTTGGAATTATATATATATAACTGCTGTTTGATAAGTGAAAATTTTTATTCGAGAACTCTTTCCGACGATCATCTGGACCATATTTTTCTGAAAAACTTTTTGACTAAAAAATAGTAACGTACTGCAAGAAAAATGTAAGACATGGGAAAAGGGTGTAAGAAGAACCGCACTTGTCGTTTAGAGGTAGTT